ATATATATTGATGACGTTATCAGGTATGACGTGTGTCAGTGTCCGTTTTTGTAACTAATGTATATTTAGGGCCAGTAACGCATTTACGCTGATTGAAGCTCACAATCTGATCAATCATACTGATCGCATTCAAAATTTTGTTTGGTGAAGTTATTATTTGTAATTTATTCAATTCTGACAGTTCAAATGAATTGAGGTTCAATTATCGTGGTACAACAAGATTCTGATTGTATTTTACGATCTATCATAATATTCACAATATGGATATGAATGATATCAAAATACACTAAGCTTCAAACACAAAACGCCCTGTATTTATTACATCCACAAGGGATAAGTCGACCTCATTTTTATATTACGTATGTATCACTGTTTTGTGATCCACTCTGATCCAATATTTTCTATGAACATTGGTATTATATACAGGGTGCGTTTTTTTGTCATGTTCACTATATGGCGATCTCGTAAGCCGTACGAGATAAAAAGCCGCTCAAATTTGTTATGCAGAATTTTATGCTGATTACGCAAAAACCAATATGGCGTCCATACAACCAATAAGCCAGCTAGTATATGTAAGTAAGATTTTTCTTTTTAAATTTCAATTTGATTTTGTTGTAGAAAATGGTATATGTATACGAGTAAGTATATGGGGAAACATTTTTGGTTTCTAAAAGAAGAAACAATATTGGTGAAGATTGGTGTAGAATTCATTTCTCAAAGTTGAGTGATTGTTACATTCAAACATAAGGTGTTGCATTGAACCTTCACTACCACACAAACGTATTGGAGTGTCAGCTAAGTTTATTTCATTTACATGATTAGGAAATCTGCCATGAATGGTTGAAATAAAAGGCCTGCTGGAAATATTTTTATACCATGGTTTTTGTGACTGTAATTGTTTGGAGTTCCCATCTTGTACTGTGTATTCCATACCTTTAATACACACGATGACTTCTCTTCTAGGAATATGATAGTTTATAATCTCTACTCTTTGCTGCCTCTTTAGCACGAAAGTCAGCCATATGATCGTCACCTTCAATTCTGGCATGTGCATCCAGGTTATGATAATATTTTTTCTTGCTTGCGTACTTGGAAGTAAGGTTCAAAAATATTCTTAAAGATAGAAATCAACATTTTTTCAATTTCTTAATAGAGCTTAAACTTTCAGTAAGTATTATAAACCGAATGCACCTTAAATTGAGAACTTATTTTAACGCTCCCCCTATTGCAATTTGCCGAATAAATGGAAGTGTGTTTAGATAGAACTAAATCTAAGCTTGTAGTTACTATGATACACTGCCTATCAATCACTATTCTTTGATCCATCTCTAAAAATTAAATAAAAATTTGGATACTGCATCAGCTAAGAAAGCGTATTGTCTAAGTGGTAGCTTTCCATAGTCCGGGAAAGCGAAAGTATCTACGGTTAGATTATACTCGTATACCGACAAGGGTAGCTGTTATGTTTTTCAGATGACTCGGCTACTTTTCTGTATTGTATTTACTTTTCCGATTTGAACTTCTTAAAAATAGAATAAATAGTGGAGTAATCTACTATATTTCGCACTTCCACTTCAAACAAAACCCCAAGAAAACAAATATAATCCCTAAGAGGAAATTTAGTATTGCGTAATCTAATTTCTAAAGGTAACCGCGAGTCTAAATGTGCATATCCCCGATTTTGTTTGGGATATAGGTATTTATAATGTTTCTAAACGCCCATTCAGAAAACTGAGTTATGAAACTGAATTCCCTTTTGAAAAAGCTATCATTATATCAATAACCAATTGAGTAGAGCAATGCTGTCGGTTGTGGCCCTATCGTGTCTAAAGCCATTTTGAGAAGCCGGTGATTATAAACATGTTATTTTAGCGCCATCAAAAAGCCGAGAAAAATCACAGAGGGTTTGTTAAAATTATTTTTTGATATCTTTGAAAATAAATGAACGCCAGCGTATTCTCGAAAATGACCTTTCTGATTTTTTTTGCTATAACTTCGCTATTTGTAGAGCAACAAAAAACTTTTAAAGGGACGACTAATCAACATAAAATTCTGCATAAGTTTGCCCATGATGCGGCTCTGTATGTCTTACGCTTTACTAGTTCGCCATAGTTAAAATAAAAAATAAAACTCTTCCTGTATAAATTTCCTTTTCTATTTGACAGTTTTCGTACATTTACCTGCAATATAGATATTATTTTTTTAAATTTTTTTTTACTTTCCTAGCAGTAGGACTTTCATTTTTACCGCTTGGGAAACATTGATGCTTCATATTGATATTCATATTCTTTTATTGTAAAGTACATGTAATTTTAAAAAGACATGGAATCATTGGTCATTGTCTCCGTTATCGACAATTTAAGTAAATAAAATAAGCGCTTCTCATAAAAATGAATAATTTTAAGTAAATCTGTAAATAACGCTGTAGAAACGCGTTGGATGCCTTGCGTCGGAAGAAAATGTCATCTATCTTTACCTGCGACCATATCTTTTTAAATTTGAACGCCGCATAACAGTGGCAGAGATAAGAGGAGGCGACAAGCTACAAAAAGAAAAATGGATCATAATTCGCACGTGGATGTTGCCAGTGCAACCGAAACGATCCCAAAGACAGACGACACCATTTTTGACAATACGATATCAGTGTCATTAATTATTTGCTAAACATGCAGATAACGTCTACAATGTATTAGCTAAAGCGACGAATTGCGTCTTATGCGTTTATCAAAATCGCTATGAGTATAATAATATTCGCTCCCGGAAAATTCGCCCTCTGAATATTCACCCCAGAAAATTTGCCTTGGGAAGATTTGCTCCGGAGATTCACATAAGCTTTAACCCCCAAAAGCATTCTATTTTCTAGCCAAGAACTCATTCCGAGAGAATTTCACGTTCAGACAGGTTAGACCTCAACGGACGGACTTTACGAAATAAGTGCTATACTGCCTGTCCCAAATTGGAGCGTTCCAGCATATTTACCCTCGGAATATACGTTCTTAGCAAATGGCTACCGGAAAATTCTCCTCACGAAAATTCCTTCCTTTGATTTTATTTTTACGTTGGATTATTGTTTTTTCTTTATACTTCTTTTTACTCCATCTAGTTTATATATTATATATTATAAAATATAATAATACGGCGTTAACAAAATCATTCTACCGTGTCCACGGTGTGCGGTGTATTGAATTAACATCAAAAAGCAAGGAATAAACTTAAACTAATTTTTAGATTACTGCATATGCATGAAAAACAAGTATTAATTGGGCAGGCACATACTTATGCACAGAAAAATTGCATGTAGTACTGTAACAGCATTATAGGCTTTAGGGCATGCCAACTTTTGACCCCGCATCTAGTTCGTTCCAGACACGAAGCAATCCAGTATAGTAAATTACTTGGCACCACTAGATGCGTATGTATGCAAAATTTGACACGAATCGGTCGACACATGTAAAAGTTATGCGCGTTTCACTTTCCAAAACAGCCTCTGGGGCAGTAATTCTTGGAGACCTGGGATTGAGATGAAAATGGAAACCAATACGGATTATATTAAAATTTTGTATACTAGTACTATACATCTTCAACTAGAAGTTATAAGATACTAGTGTACAAAATTTTAATATAATTAGTGAACGCATTTTCAGACAAACAGACCAAGGGACAAACGAAGGAGATCAAGGACTTAGTAAGTTATATTTTTTGGATGGTGATACCGAATCCAATAAAGCGAATTTTTTCGACGGAAAACTCATACACGTATTCCCCATGGAAAAATGCCGTAGTTCATTACCGTAATCGTATGCGGTGGAAAAATAAAAATTTATGCGAGAGTGCATTTTTTAAATTGTAGGAACGACGAAATAGAAAATGATAATATTCATGGGAATATTAAATTGTAATTTGTTGTATAGAGAATATTTTTGATCGGATAGAGACTAATTCATTCACAGTAAAGTAACGAATATACCTACTGTGTCATACAATATACTAGCCACACCTGAATCACGTTTTGAACGTTTTGTGACAATGTTTTCTTGTATTGGTTAAGTAATTTATTTATGGTTTACAGATTAGAACGATTGCAGTCAAAGTACTGTCCTAAGTCCTTGATTATTTTCACCCTTTCCAATACAATGTGCGCTAATATTTGCAGTGGATTACGTTTACTACTCCTTTTTTGATTTTTTTCTCAGAAATTCAAGGACGTGCTCACGTGGCAAAAGATTTGAAGTTTTACAAAAATGTAAAAAAGTAAAACAACGAAATCAGAACTTAACAATGTAAGACCGTGTGATTAATGCTTCTTAGGTTAGAGTTGCTCAAAATGCCCAATTACTTATCAACTAACTTACTGTTGAATTCTGAAAAAAAATTATTACCGTTTTTTAAGGAGTTACTTTTCAGGAAGAAGAGGGACAATAAATAAACAAATAAATAAATCAAAAATGGAGTATCGCCTTAAACTTTCACACTAATTGGGAGATAAAACGGCCCTTTACAGTCTACTGTTTAGAAAGCTCCCGGTGTACAACTTCTAGAACGTATTATTCGCAAGATATCCGGGTAGTAAAATGTGAAACACCGTTCCAGTCCAAGGTTTTTGGGAGTCTTCCTTGAAGTCAATTTAATGCTTAGTCGATAAGTCTAAGATTTTGAACCTTTTTGGGTCGAACGATATGATTTTACCCCAACCATTGAAATTTTTCAGTCACACATTCCATTCTAAGGTTCTCGGAGCTGTTTCTTATACTTAGGATGACTAACAGTCACTGTCTTGGCTTTTAAAACGTTACACTTTACAACATCATGAACTATCCACTAAATTACTCAGTTTATTACAACAAACTCCAAGTTATAGGAAAATATTGTATTTTACTTTATTTCCTCATAAAAGTGCCAACTTAATTTACTCCTCATCATAAATAACTAAAACGAGGTAGTGATTCACGGTACAATTTGCCGTCGTAGGTACTCGATGGAACGTAATATGACAGCTTCTGGCACCTTAATCAGTGAAGGTACAAGCGCTTTTTAAATTTTTGTCTGAACGATCTTCCCAACTTCTAGGACAATCTGGTCAGTCCACTAAAGAGGAGTTCGGGTACTTTTGGGAGAGTAACGGAGAAACCAACAGGATTGAGGAAACACATGGGAGTGTTTGAATTAAAGATTTCGTAAACTGTCATTTATTGCACCGAGTTACAGAGAATTGAAACCGTGGTAAGGAAAAAATTTAAAAGAATAGAAAAAATCGATTCTTAGGGGCAATTCTACCAACGCTCTGGAGTTCGACCCAATTTTTGCGTTGAAAAAGTTGGTATAAAAACGGAGAGGTTTTTTTTCCTCGAAGCTGAAACGCATTGAAAATTACAGAATGCAGTTTCAAGTGCAAAATGACGCTAGAATTTAATTCGGTCAAAGGTTGCAGGATCGTGGATCAGCTAACGATTGGTACGTTCTAATTCTAGTGTGTCTGACGTCAGTAAGGAAGTGGGGTGCATAAGGACACAGGTCTTCTTCGCGGCTCCTAGGGCCACTTTTCAGTCGGTCGCATCAGCACTGAGTGTGTTTTTTATTGGACATATCAGAAAAAAAGGTGAGAAATGATTTTAAGGATCGTTTTCAACACAGCAACTAATCACAACATAACCCGCTTCAACAATTTCCAACCCTACTGTTTTCCCTAATATTTTTCACATAAGCAACTGTTTGGTAACACTTTTCCGTAAGTAACTGCATTTTCACCTGAGAGCTTTGAAGCTTTAGTTTTTAGAATGCAATTTTAGACAAACGAACTCAAATCAAAATGTTTGGCTTAACGCATCTCATTAGCTGCCAAATATACAAACCTCTCTAAATAAATAGCAGTGAGAGCTTTCGATTTTAAAGCACGTTATGTAAGAAGTTAGAGCTATTATTTTTCGTTTCCGTAAAAAATTGCGATACCTGCTTGAAAAGGAGTTACATAATTTTTCTAGTAGCACCTACTGAAAGCTAGTCAATAATGGGTGGTAAACTTTCCTTGCGCAAATGAATTTCCTAAAGCGAAGCACGGCATAGTTCAGTTCCAGGCGAGATACAACAATCATTTAATTCCGCAACTAAACAGAAGTAGCTCGTTTAGTTCAATTGTCTCATTTAAATATTAAAGTCAATTGTAAACAATCTGCCACCGTCCATTTGCACGTTTTATCAATTAAGTTTATGTATTTTAAAGCTATTGAACCCTTTCTTACATAACTATAACCTTAAAATCGGGATGCATCGCTTCCTTGAGTATCTATAGATTTCACATACGAATAATCCCTAATAAAACTTCCGAGGATGTTTCTGGAGAAAACATTAATCAAGTTCGTTCCTACATATACGTATAATAATCACGTTTTAACAACAAAAGAATTTAATATTTCTGCTTGCTGTCGAATGATTAAAATGTGCCTCAACACCCAAACCTCGGTTGCTCACCAGAGACCCTTGTTTATACTTGAATGCAATGAATAAACTGGTTGTAACTATAATTGTTGTTTCTAATTCTGATCTCAAGATGTAGCTTTGTACATCAAATATCGCCTACCAATATCAAATTTGACTAACCCCAGAATATTGTCTATTACCAATTAAATCCAAAATTTAGTTTCCAAGCACGAAATATTGTCCACTATATCTTTCTATATTTTCATTTGCATTCAAAGGCTGTAACTCATAAAATTAATGTCCATGCGTGAAGATTCATGTTTGGAGGGCTTCGCTAGTTTGTGCCTCAGCATCGGAAAACCGCACCTATTTGAAACGGAGATGTTAGTGCTGTATAAGCGCACATCCGTTCTTAATATCTTTGCGAAGATATTACTCTCCAACATTGATTGGTCAGCATGACGTAGATACTATCGCCTATGATCTGTAGGTACCTTTTTTATTATTGGGGTGCATGTTGATTCCTGTGGGGTTCCACAAAGTGGTAATCTGGAGCCTACATTCTATTCACTCACAATATTGAAGTAAGTCCAAAACTACTGTGTTTAGGTGACCGTATGATAATTGAATTGTAGATTTCCAACTGGGCTTAATCACGAAGAGCCAACCCGCTACTTATCAATACTTCTTTATACTAGTAAAAAATCTAATCGAATTCAGTTATGCAATTTAAGGTGAAAATTTGGTAAGAAATATTGAAATATAATAATAATTCTTATTTTGCTAAAGCAACGGGAACGGCGTCTCACATTTAGACCGCACAGCTTTTTTTGAGTCTCCATAAAACACACGCAAGCTTCAATATTCCTCTACGAAAAGGGAATCCTCGTCTAACAGTGGCTACTTAGAAATGTATTAATTGTGACCAAGTCCCTTTCCGAACCCTACATACATCGAGAAGATCCAACACGCTGATAATGTTTGGTCTGCCCATGAATTAGAAAGCATAGATCTATCATGCCGCTAAACTTGCAAGGGGTGTGTGTGTGTGTGTGTCATTAACAATTTTTTTTAAGAAGTACCTGAACTCAGATGGTTTTTCCAACGCGTTCGCTAGCCAATTCAGTCATACAAGGACTTATTTACTTTCCTTGAAACATGTGCCCTTATTTTATACATAAAGTAACTAAAAAATATCTCACGTATTGTAAGATTCCTTGTTAATTGCACATATGTCAGTGTTTTTTCTGAAATATTATTTAGTCATACCGATTTTCCTGACAAGCCAAAGCTTTCAAAGAGATCCGCAGCAAATGCATTGCTATTAATTAAATGGAAGAATTGAGGAAGCGTTCGATCGAATACACTTTACCCCAAAAATGTTCCAATATACTATCTATTTGAGTAAGGTAGAATTTGATTAAGTAATCACGAAACCTTCACTAGAAATTCAATAAATTGATTTCTTTCTATCTCATTTATAGAATTATTTATTATTTAACGCTGACCTGTACAAATTGACATTGTTCCTCAAAGTTTCCTCCCTCTTCAAATAAATACGTAATACAAATTTATTACAAAGTAGCAAGCTTACCGGCTTAGATTACACTTAACTTATATGTAGTCATGAAACTTCTGCAACAAGTGCTTACGGATATTTTCAACTACCTACCACGAAAGAGTATTCTTTTCAAAAGAAAAGTCTCTCGCAATTAATGTAATTGTACATGTTAATTCTCGTAAGTACGAAAGTAAAGCCGTGCTTTTCCAGGCCACGTTGGAATGGACCGACTGCGTTGGCAGTTGTTGCAGTTAGATTTTGCTTAAAACGCACATGATACGATGGTAATCGTGCCACAAAATTGCATGCATTGAAAGCTGCCGCCTAACTTTTCGTACTTCAATTGGCAGTTTTTTGAAAAAAATTTGAATAAATAAATTAAAAATCCGTTCCGTAGTCAAGTAGGGGATGTTACAACAAATTAAGAGAGGATGTAGTATTGGATTGGTCGACGCTAGTGGATGTGCGTCGATCGATCCTGGAAAACTGCGCCCTGTCTGTTTAAAAGCTCGCACCTCCAGTCATTGTAGGAAACCCCGTGTGGCTGTACAACGAAACGAAGATAAACCGGCAATCACCTTTCTGTATAGGGCGCGTCCTCAAACACATGCCGATTAGTTATTCCATCCACTTATACATAATTAGTGTCTCTTAAGTGTTTAATTATTTAGTTAGCAAACATAATGGGTGGCTGCGCGTCAAAGGATGCTAAACAGCCCAAAGAGGATGAGTTGGGGTTTGTACTATTCGTATGGTGTTGATGTCTGCATGGGTCAATAGCACCGTACGGGTGTGCCTGGAAACCAATGGATGCCTTCGCTCTTTTCTTTTCTGTGTCTTGTATTTTACATGTCAACGTAAAAAGATAAAGTACGCTACTACTTCTTTTACTTTTGCTTACGCTTTGCCATTTTTCTATCCTTTAGTCTTAAAGATGGCAATCGTGCTTTTGCCAAGAGAAATATCAAAATGTTTCAAACAAAAATTTGAAGTAATTAACCTTCTTTGTAACACCAAATTGGAAAATTATTTCATAAATGGAGTTTTTATGCGAGAAAAATACCAAAGTCACGGCAATTTTTTGATTTACAGAAAATCAGAGACTATGGTTGACGCCGCCGTCTTAGAAAAGCTCGAAGGTGGTTTCCAAAAACTAAAAAGCTCCGACTCGAAGTCCCTGCTTAATAAGTATTTATCGCAAGAAACCTTTGACAACTTAAAGACTAAGAAGACAAGCTTTGGGTCTACTCTTCTAGACGTAGTTCAATCAGGTACGATGCACGATGTGTGATAAATTTGTTTCATAAACTGTTTTTCTAGGGTTTGAAAATCACGATTCGGGTGTGGGACTTTACGCGCCTGATGCCGAAGCTTATACGGTTTTCGCCGATTTATTTGATCCCGTGATTGAGGATTACCATTTTGGATTCAAAAAAACAGATAAGCACCCTCCGAAAAATTGGGGAGACGTTAATGTTTTTGGAAACTTAGATCCCAACAATGAGTTTGTGGTATCCACTCGTGTTCGATGCGGTCGATCTATGGAGGGCTATCCGTTCAATCCATGTTTAACTGAAGAACAGTACAAAGAAATGGAAGAAAAGGTATCGTCTACCTTATCTGGACTCGAAGGTGAACTTAAAGGCACGTTTTATCCTCTCACTGGAATGTCAAAAGACGTTCAGCAGAAATTGATTGACGATCACTTCCTTTTCAAGGAGGGTGATCGTTTCCTACAAGCTGCTAATGCTTGTCGCTTTTGGCCATCTGGTCGAGGTATTTTCCACAACGATGCAAAAACCTTTTTGGTTTGGTGTAACGAAGAGGATCATCTCCGAATTATTTCTATGCAAATGGGTGGCGATTTGGGAGAAGTATATCGCCGACTCGTTACCGCAGTCAACGACATCGAGAAACGTGTTCCTTTCTCACACAACGATCGTTTGGGATTCTTAACTTTCTGCCCAACAAATCTCGGAACTACCGTTCGCGCATCTGTACATATCAAAGTACCTAAGTTAGCTGCTAATAAAGCTAAATTAGAAGAAGTGGCTGCGAAATATAACCTTCAAGTGCGTGGAACGAGAGGAGAACACACTGAAGCCGAAGGAGGTGTTTACGATATATCCAACAAGCGCCGAATGGGGCTCACTGAGTTTGACGCCGTTAAGGAAATGTACGATGGTATTGCCGAAATAATCAAAATTGAAAAAGAGTTGTAATCACCACACGTGATACGTTACTTATATAATGAACGGTTACATAGCTGTTGACATCCGTATTATGTACTAAGACTATTAAGTTTGTCTGATTTGCCATGGGTACCGGTGATTGCTTGTTACTATGATTAATACAGTAAAATGTTTGTTGTTTTAATCAGCTTTCTAGTTACATTGTTTTAAAATGAAAAGTTCTTATAAATATTTACAAAAAAAAACATTGGAGACGTTTTTTTTACTTTATCGCTTCTATACTCAATGTGAGTATAGAACAAAAATAAGTTATTTTAAATAGATTGAACTGTAAAATATTGTAAGTACTAGTGATTTTGAAAACATGTTTATTAAAAATGACTTTAATAAAGGACGTCCAATGAAACGTTTTATATACGCCTACACTATACGCTTTCTAGGGTACATTTAAAAATCCCGGGTTGCTTTGATCAATAGACTACGCGCATGCCCTCTTCGTTGCTATTCACATTGTCATATTTGACCAACCTGTAAAATTATTTTATTGGTACAGGTTTAATGTTTTTCAGTTTAATTCGGATGCGTTTGAAACTTGAATTATTTGTACACATAAATAAATAATGCAAACAAGGGAACTCTGTTACAGCATACATAGGCAATCTGGCTAATCTGATTATTTGTCAATATAAATTTCTTGTAGTTTTCTTCAATGTGCAAATAATTATGATAAGCCATAACGTTTAATGTCGCAATATTAGTAAAATTTTGCTGGTAGTATTGTAAGAAATAGTTAATAGTTGTACCTAAGCTTCAATCTGTATAGTGCTGTGGTACTTACTAAGTTACCTGGTAAATCCGATTATGTCTTCAAGACTAGTAGGTACTTATTTGAAGAGATTAAAACCACTCAGCAATGGTATGTCACATCTGGTAAACGAATTTAGTAGATCAGACAGGTCTTTTACACTTCATCAAAATTGTTATTATGGGAATCTTTGTGGTTTTTCTTTGTACTTCAGCTTTTATCTTCCGTGTAAGATCTACCCAATAACTAAGAAATAAAACGCGACGGTCACCACGATGATTCTCTACCGTGAGAATATGAACGATGATTTATGTGGTGGGAATTGGGAACACACACGCTAGACTTGGGTCCCTAATATAGTCATATGGAACTTCTTTGTCGCTTCTTCACTTTTTCGTATTCTATGAGCTTTATAATTATTGTCGTAATGAGGAAATATATTTATTTTTACCAACAACTTTTCGAACTCTTGCAATACATCTTTCATGTTTCAATTTCAGGGGGCCATTTGAGGGGGACACGGACACCCCATCCAAAGTATTGTAAAAAATAATCAAAATACGCATACGTAAAAAATGTAATGTATGCCCCATGGACCATATCTGATTGAAATTACAGTTGTCGCTGGCAAAGAATCACATTACGGTTTTAAGCATACTCTGAGGAGGTAATCAAATTTCTTCAGATATTTGTTACCTTGTCTATTACAACTGCGGGAAATGAAACTTGTAAATGATTTTGCGTCTCTGAAATCACATCCATACCCTTTATTGCATTAAATGCTCAATATTGCAATTTGCTAAATTTGTATTTTCATTAAATAGTAACAAAAACACAAGTAGATATTTATTAATAATAATGAAAAGTATTATGTACTGCAAAACTATTTTTTGCTGCTGAAATACCAACAAAAGTTGAACAAGGGGTAGGAATCTTGAAACTTAAAATTATAGTAGGTATAGGCAGACAAAACTTGCACGTAATATACCATAGGCCTGCATCGCTTAGCGCTGGACCCCCCCCCCCCATACAGTAAGGCGGCCCCTATTCAATTTTAGTTCAAATTAATTCCTTAGTCTCCAGTACGACTAGTATATGAAAAACCTTGAATCCATCATATATAGAAACCGTGTACATGAATAAATAAATAATTGAGAGTGAGTATAATAGTTGCTTGGGAGTCTACACTAAAGGTAATTAACTACGACTACCAACTTCAAAAAAGCAACTTTTCCTAACTGTTTCTTTGAAGACACTGTATACTAATGTTGAAAACAATATTATACGTGCATCTTAACTGAATGATAACATTTGTGATTGATAGAAGTTTTTCGGTAGACTATTCTACTGCCCACCCTTTTGTTAATTATATTATTAAGGCTCTGAAATCCTTCCCCTTTTGATGATTCCTCAAAAAAACCTTTAAAGTGGATTAGAGCAATATTTAATATATAACACAATTGAATTAAAATTAATTTCATGATACATATTTCCGTGTATTACTTTCGAGTTAATTGGTATGATGAGAACAGGATGCGTTTAGGTCACGACTCACCAACCCACGTAGGAGCGTTCATCACAATTTCATTATTATTGTGCTCAGAACTATGTCGACTACACTAAATCTCTTAGAACTCATTTAAAAAATAATGATCTGATGAAAAGCTTTCAGAAGAACATAATTAGATAGAAAATGACGAGATGGTAGTCCCTACAGACTTATTGTTAGCTGAATAACTGAAGTGAAGTGACTTTAAACGGTAAAAAAACGGTACGGGCTCAGAATAGCCTCACTGTGTAGAAACTAGGTTTGTCGCCACGTACTTATTTTCTTAGTGCTGGTGGCTCCAGAAATGGAGAAAGCAGACTTAGGCGGTGGAAAGTAATAACGCGTTCAGACACTTCATAGGTAATAGCCAGAGATTTGTCGTGTGAGGTGTCAGGGATGGCCGGAGCGGTTTCTTAAAGGGTGGGAATGTTAAAAATTTCCCAACTTTCAAAATACAAAATGCCAACAGAGAAGTCCATCGTGGAGGTGAAGCTTTCTTTCATGTAATCGTTAGTAGTCGTTATTAAAAATTCTCCCACACATTGTACATAGTGATGTTAAATTACACGTTTTTTTTAAGTGCGTAATATTATGTGTAAAATTACCAATTGTTTATGTTTTTTACGTAATTTACAAATATTTTTGTAAAATTACCTGTCATTTATGTTTTTTATGTTTTTTTTAATATTCCATAAACAATTTTGAATTTTGTGAGTGTTTGAAAAAAAAACACTTGTTAAATTATATATTTTGATGTATTAAATAAAATACCCAAGCAGTAGGTATTTCGCCATCACGCGTCGTTTGGAGGAAGAAGTTCCAGATCGTGAATTAGATGGTGTATCATCTTCATTAAACCACTAGATTCAACGGTGAATCGTTTACGTTGGTAGTACCGTTGATGGTCTGTCGTAGTACCGATCAAAATGTATCTTATAGGTATTACATTTATGTAACTTACAAAAATTACGGTTTATTAAATAAAAAACGTAAGTTACGTAAATTTCATAAAAGACATAAATTACATTAAAAAACCGACCTCTTCTAAGTTACGCGTAATATAACCGTTTTTATGTAACTTACAAATCGTTATTTTACAATCCACATTACTATAGAAACCAATTTCGAAAGAAAATTCAAAGGGCTGTAACTTTTGAACTAGTAGCCCAATCTTGGAACTGTTTGAAATTATGGATTCTACAGGTCACATTCTATAAGAAAATTTTTTTTCCGAGTCGATCTGAGAAAATTTTTTTGTCGGGGCTCAAAAAAAGGCAGTTATTACCTTCCTTTTTTACCAAAAATCGACTGCACCAAAATTTCTCGGGAAAACACTTTTTCTTATTAATTTTGATGCGTAGAATCCAAAACAATTCGTACTTTTTCGATCGGACTTCTCAATCAAAAGTTATGGACTAGAAATAGTGATGTTAAATTACACGTACATGTGCGTAATATTACGTGTAAAATTACCAATTGTTTATGTTTTTTACGTAATTTACAAATATTTTTCTAAAATTACCTGTCATTTATGTTTTTTTTAATATTCCATAAACATTTTTGAATTTTGTGAGTGTTTGAAAACAAAAACACTTGTTAAATTAGTAGGTATTTCGCCATCACGCGTCGTTTGGAGGAAGAAGTTCCAGATCGCGAATTAGATGGTGTATCATTTTCATTAAACCAAACTAGATTCAACGGTGAATCGTTTACGTTGGTAGTACCGTTGATGGTCTGTTGTAGTACCGATCAAAATGTATCTTATAGGTATTACATTTATGTAACTTACAAAAATTATGTTTTTTTAAATAAAAAAACGTAAGTTACGTAAATTTCATAAAAGACATAAATTACATAAAAAAACCGACCTCTTGTGCGTAATATGACCGTTTTTTATGTAACTTACAAATCGATATTTTACAATCCACACCACTAATTGTACATTATACGGATTATACCTTGTAGCGCCTTCCGGTATGTGGCTTCATTTTCCGAAAAGTAAACAAAAAATGAGCAGTGAAAATACAAATAAACAGTTCTTGATACGGTACAAACACGCAAAATTCAAGACAGACTGGGTCACTGTAAAACGTAATTACTTTACTACCTGAGTGCTAAGTCGGCATTGTTTAATCGTTCATTATTCCCCAATGATATGCATTTCATGCGAAATGTAATAATTCTAAATGAGTGTAATAAATATGATATGCTCTGCTGAATTGAGAAAAACTTCTTTGTTTGGGTGTAAAGTAAACAATTTATTATGGCAAATGTAAACAGATTTATTTGCGATTACTTTATCTTGCCATTACAAATTTACCCACTCAGTTGCATATTATGACAACTACCATAGAAGTCCTGGTGGTCTGCAGAAGCACGTAAGCGTAAGAGGTGGGGAAGCGATTCCTTAAACGGTGGTAAAGATTGTAGCGAGTTCTAAAAGGCTTGATATAATGGAAAATAACTAAAGGGTTGTCTTGATATACTTATTATTGCTTTGGTAGCAAAAGAAGTTGGAGAAGCGGACTGGGTCAAAAAATTGATGCGAGTTGAACAGAGTTTCACTTGATAGCAAATAGCAAAAGGTTGGGCGTGAATCGTGACATACCTATATACGTATTCTTGGTTTGGCGGCAGTAAAAGTGGAAGAAGAGTTGTTACCCATTCAGAAGAGTTTCTCTTGATAGAAAAAATAGTCAGCGGTTTGTCGTGGCATACTTATTTTTCGTTTGGTAGAGGGAGAATTGGAATTTGAAGGGACGAATCTTTAAACCGTGAAAAAAATTGGTGAGGCTTCATAAAAAATTAATATAACGGAAAACAACTAGACACTTATTCTTCGTTTGGGTGCGGTAGAAGTGAAGGAAGGTGACTTTAAACGACAGAAAAAATTGTTACGGATTCATAAGAGTTATAATATGACGGAAAATGAAAGAGGATTTTCGCGAAGTAAATATTCTGATTAGATTATTAAAACAAAAGCTTTACATATCGCAGATTTATTTATTTATTTTTTACATTTATAATATTAGAGCTCATTTCTAAGCATCGCATAAAGTATTATTTTATTTATCAGCTTTATAACTAACACTAGAACAAAACTACAGTATAGGAGTAATGCGTTGAATGAGCCCTCGAGTCTCGACTCAAACAGTCGGGTCTTGTTTTCGTAAAGCTGGACTAGAAGCAAGAAGGGTAAATAATGTTTTCCCTCTATTTGGACCCTTTTTGTTACAAAGGAATTGCTTGGAAATATGAAAGCAAGTTAGAAAAATGAAATAGGCAAAACAGCTTTGCAATATGACCATTTTATGAAGAAATTTATTGTTTGTGCTTAATTAACTTCATTACAACAAAAACTCTGATATAGCAGTATTGTAACCTTACTAGCTGTTCGATTTTAGATTTCGTGTTTACGTAGAATTTCATAAGTCCCGTTAATGAATTTTATATAACTTCTATAAGCATATGCAAAAATTTAACTACTTTAAGAAAGCCGTCCAATACGAAACTTCTTGGTCTTGCTGGAATTCTTGTAAGACACAACAACTAAAATAGATACACTAAGAAACCAAGTTTTGGAGTTGTTCACTGATGAGGACAGCCTTACGGTCGGAATTCGTCGCCTTTATAATTGTTATAGTTGTTTCTTAGTGTTTTTACTGTTTTTGTATCAGTTTTCGTTTCTTTATCTTTGAGGAAAGTCGCGTTCTTAGACTGTTAGGTACATTCACGCGATGTGATGATATTTTATGTGCTTTAATTCATCGTTAATGTACAATAAACCATTGAAATTAATTACAATCATTTTTTGCAGGAAATCCGATACCCAAGTTTCTGATTCCGTCTTAGAAGTTCTTGAAGTCGATTACTACAAACTAAAAAGATCCAACTCGGAGTCTCTATTCTCTACTTCATCGTGGTTATCCCAATGTGTGCGAATTTCGCTTGTAGACGGCAACTCAGGATACGAATTTTCTGTGGGCGAAATTTCGGATAATTAATCCGCACCTATACCTACTCGTCAGCAGTAAAAATGCAAGAAATATGATATTCATCAATCATACGCCTCCATTTCACAGGTGAGCATATAATAATCGTCTGTCCTTTTATTTTTTATTTACACCTCTCTATTTACTATTTATTTATACATTAATCACATACTTATATGTCAGATATTACTATAGGTACTAATGATGTGATAAAATAACCCCTCCATTAAAGCAATACATTAAAAATCGAATTTAAATTAAAATACAGACAATTCGTCGAAGAATACCTCCTCACTATCTATTGGTGAAATTTTTATGAAACAGGTTATTAAAAGGGCACTTTCAAGCTATTTACTAAATCATTACATATCGCCGTAGAAGATCTATTGTACCGTAGATGACTCTTGACAACATGGCCGACAGTTAAGGCTGACATCAAAGACAATTCTCCGGCTAACACTGTTGCGCACACGATCCTAGCCAGTTGAGATGAATTTTCTCCAGGTTTCGATGGGCTGGCGCCTTTTACCCCAAGAATGTCGAGACAAGCTCCTTGTGCTGGAAGGATCGTACCACCACCAATAGTTCCAACTTCAAGGGAAGGCATACTGCATGATATATAAAGATCTTCACCGTATGTCCCATGAGGTTCCATTATTGTAATGCAATTGCTACTAGTTACATTTTGTGCAGGATCTTGACCAGTAGCAATAAATATCGCCGTAACAACATTCGCCGCATGTGCATTGAAACCACCCATACTTCCGGCAACGGAAGAACCAACCATGTTTTTGGCAAAATTGCATTCCACCAAAGATTGAACCGTTGTTTTCAAAACCGAACTTACAGTCTCGCCCGGAACTATGGCTTCACACACAACAGACTTTCCTCTTCCTTCCACCCTGAACAGAAGAGGTCACAAAGGAACCGCATACATTAATTAACTACAGACCAGTTTATTGCCGCAACTTTTTTGTCCGCGCAAAAGTTTCCGCTAATGCTTAAAATGTCCATGTTAGGAAAATGAACCTGAATCATCTTGAGAGATAGTTCAGTAGCTTTTGAAACCATATTCATTCCCATTGCGTCTCCAGTCGTTGCAATAAAACGTATAAATAAGTACCGTGCAGCAATACGGATAAATATTTTCGATAAACGGGCAAATCGACTGGTTGAATCAAACTGTTCTTTAATTAAGTCAAAATTGTTTGCATCTTCGACCCATTTCATTGCTTCGCTAGAAGGAAATTTTTCAAATTTCAAATTGGCATGTGCAATGCTTCGTGCAGGGTTAATTACTATTTACCATCACACAATAATTCTAGTAAAAAATAATGTGAATAATAGAGATGAACCTATTATCGCACAATAAACATTCTGTACATAGTGAGCACCTCACCTAGCTTCTTTAATAGAAGGAAACCGAACAACGGGCCCTCTGGTCATACCATCAGCAACTACCCTTGTGGTAATTCCGGATTTGAAAAGTGCTCTGCAACCTCTATTTACGCTGGCAACTAAGCATCCCTCCGTGGTAGCCATTGGCACATACACAACACGTTCATCTAGAGACAGGGGTCCCACAACACCGACCGGGATTGGCACGTAACCAATGACGTTTTCGCAGCAAGCATTCATGACCTAAAATCAGACAAAAAATAAGCTTTATCAATAGAACTAATACTTACCTTGCTGTAATCGTAATGCTCAAAAGGCAATTCAGCGAGCGGTAAAGACGAATCCTTTAGTGATTCCAGATAGCTTCTTCGTATTCTTACCCCGCGATCAGCATTATCTACAGCTTTTTCAATTCGGTATGGGGAGATATAGTTTTCCATTACGAGCATGATTACCTCCTTGTCGGTGAGTAATGACGCTTCTAAATTAATTTGATAAATCTGTAAACACTCGCTCAAGGCGCGAGGTTCGGGTTCCTTGTAGACTTTGGTGTCTGGTATACGCTCAAAATCTGTCTGCACATGCTTATCTTCCACAAACCTTTCCTCTAAAATCGCTGTCACCAATTTTGGAATTCCATCGTTTAACTTACCATTCTCTTGATAATCCAAATAAAATGTCGGTATTTTTCGCGTTTTTGATTCGTCTTTTATAAAGGATTTCATATTGTCCTCCGGAATTGTTGGTTTATTGTCACGTAAAACAAGCTTAGCCATGAAAGCTAGTAACACTAGTAATTTTGTCGCTACTTAACGTAATAGGTAAACTTGAGCAAATGGCTGTGGGGTAAAAAAAGTACGCGTTCGATTAAAATTCATATATTCATTGTAAAAACTGCCGGTGACGTTATCTTCATTCTTCCAAAAGGTGCATCGACTAGAAGCCAACAAAACATTACCGTAACTATTGTTAGAGCAGAATAATTTAAAAAAGCAATTTGTAAGTATAATGTAATTCTATAATAATTGAAAATATAAAGGTTAAACTAGAAAACCAAACTAAAAATAACCTTTCACTGAAAAAAAAATTAAATATACAGGGTGAGTTTTTTTTTCATTTTAAGCATTGGGATCTCGGAAACGATAAGACATACGGATTCGGTTAAATGAGGAAAGAGTTGTCGTTTTAAGAGCTTATTTAAGACATGCTTTTGTTTTTTGAAAAAAATCCGCAGTTCACTAGATATGAGCGAAAAACAGATTTAGTGATTTTTCATTTAACTGTTGTAGAATCGTTATTATTAGAAATACAACAAAATGACACGAATAAAAGTTTTAGACATTTTAATGCTTACCTAACATGATGAACATACTAATTTATTTTTAGATCTTACAATTTTTGAGTTATAATACAAACTTTAATTTTTTGAAATGGTAGTCATAGTTGGCTTTGACATTTTTAAAAAGGACAAATTTTTCTCTTTATAACGATATAAAGCTTGCTAAATGTACTTTAATAAATAAACGCCCTGCAGTATTTTTCGTATTACTGAGAGGTAAGTAAACAGAATTGGCCATGGAAAACAGTATGTAGTGAGATAGGTACCTTTCATTTACGACGAAAATTGGACCTACAACATTTAACCGAATATCTATGTCTTACGGTTTCCGAGATCCAAATGTTTAAAATGAAAAAAAACTCACCTTGTAGTGTGTCCCAAAAAGTAAAAAGAGGTTATGTGAAAGGGAAGAGGCCGTAGCCTGTGCCTCAATGCAAAACTTAAGCGCCGGCGTGATTTGGTTGCTCTCGAAAAATTATTATTTTGAGGAGTAAAGTTTATAACAGCAAAATCGTTAAAGTTAAGGGTATAAACATGTTACAGAAAAAATTAGCACTCTTCAATTACTGTCCAATTCTTCAAAAATACCATTAAGTTTAATACGCCAGTGTAATACAGTAGGCCACTGATGACCAGAAATATTTTAGAAACATTGGTAATTGTGTACAATTTTTATGGTAAAGGAATAATGATCCGAGGGGGTTTTAGATGCTATACCATGTATCAAGGACTACTTAAACAAGCAAAAACATGCATTGAAGTTGGTGAATTTATTGTAATTACGTATAAAACGTAAATCCATGCAAATTACGATTTAACATTACCTGCCCGATAATGGTGAGTAATATTAACGTAACGCTATTAACGTAAGCTAAATTATCAGAAACGCCTATACAGATTTTTTCCTTTATCTTTTGATCTATGTAAATGAGTAAAGGAAGAGATAATATAATGCGTCTCGTGTGTCAAATACAAAAGCCCCCTATATCTTCTACTACGGAACCATTTTTATTCAATGACGGAACTAAATAGGCGATTAACAACTTTTCCATTTTCGGTGCCTGATGGTGTAGTATTATTTAAAAAATTATGGATCTACAAGTAATGTAGAGTTTATTATTTTTTTGTGATATGTCAGATAAATAATCTTTTTCTCCATTTGTATAAAACTTTTCGGGACAGACTGTAGCTCGGACTGTATGTAAGGACAAATGAATAGTCAATAGTTAATTGGCGTAATAAAGTCAATGGTGTCCCCTTATATAGATAACGACAGTAGAACCCTTGGAATGTAAAATAAACACGTGGAAATTTTGTCCCTGGTCAGAGTGTAGTTGCAGGGGTACTCCAAATCTGCTAAAAAGTCCTTTTACCAGAACGTATCGCACAGTTGACGTTTCTTGATTTGGTAGACTATATGCTTTTGCTGAAATAATCCATGGCCACCAAGATGTATTTATTTCCAACAGCTGTTTATGGAAAAGGGCCTGCGATATCAACGGCTATTCTTTAAAATATTGTATTGGCTTCTTCTTTCCTACTGGACCGTTGCTTGCTCCTAATATACCGTCGTGCATCTGTCGTAGTACTTCAAATTTTCTGCTCTCCGGTATCACTAGCTGCACAGTTGTAGTCTTGCCATCCTCATTTTCTACAACTCTCTTCAGAAGTCCATCTTCTAACCGTAACGAGTCCCACTGAGTCCAATACACCTTTAAAACTGGCCCGTATCGAGATACCTATTCCCAGGTTGGCTTCTCACTTTCCATTTTCCAGTTTATAATCAGACGTAAATCACTGTCACTCTCCTCAGCTGTCCGGAATTCTCAGTGTGCATAATTATCATCCACAAGTAGATTGTGCGTATTGTTCATATTTGTGCGCATGGTCGACAATCTTCGGGACATGGTCTTCTAGATAAGGCATCGGAGTGTGTTGGCGGTGTTCCGGTTTTCTAGATCCGCTTTACGCGGTTAATTTTAATTCGCCAAAGCATATATTTTAAATTTTATGTTGCTCATGGAACGTGGATCTATTTCGATTTTTTTATAAACATAAGTGACCGAGTAAGAGGAACAGTTTCATCGTTGAGTGAAGGACTTGGTTTCATAGTTTCCAAATTGGTTGGATCTTTTGTCGCTTTATTTGAATTTGGCGATAAAAATTGGAAATCGACAAAAAAATCCAAAACATTTGGAAAATTTGTCTCTAAAAAGTTGGAATTTGGATTTCTTGTCGGTCCCCTTTTATTTGATGTGTCCCAGGAGGAGATAGGGCACTATATAAGATTTTAAATACGGGCGTGGTGAAGATAAATAAGTGTGGAGAAAAAAACAAATTAAAATCACTATAAAACATGTCCCACTCGGTGGTTATATGTTTTTTAGGAGCGAATTGTTTCAGGTGCGTCACCCTCTATATAAGGTTTACGTAGGCATGTAGTTAAGTAACATGCACCTGTTTCTCTTTATCTATATCGCACTTACAATTGTATTTATTCCTCAATAGTCAATGTGAATCATTTGCGAATGAATCGCCAATAATAGCGGTTGTGTGTGCTCCGCGCATATGACGTTAAAACATCCAACGTGTACAAGTGAAAAATGGAAATATACTCCTACATGTAAAACAATAATTTTGAAATGATGGGGTTCGTCCAACACCACTTTGGAAAGGCAGGCGTTGCTGTCCGAGATGAACTGCACGGGAAAAGAGTGAGTTTTAATTTTATGACAATAATTAATGGAATGGCAAAGATTAGGTGGTGCATCAAGGAGTTTTCGCCCAGGTTTACTTTTTGGGTGGTTCATTGCTCAAACTATATCTTAAAATGCGCTTCTTTAATACCGCCCAATCCATAACTTTTAATAGGTATCGTGTAGGCCATGTCTAAAAGCACTCGTGTGTGAGTTTTTAGCATCTCACTTCTTGGACGCCGCTACTAGAGCAGCTTAGATGAAGAACGTCCGCACTTCGCGTTCCATGCGTTTTGTGGATGAAACTCTCCGGAAAAGATGGAGTCTGTGATATGGTCGTATGGGCCTGCAAGATCATCTCCATTATTTCTTGTGAGTACCTTAAAAATTACAATATTGGCAACCTATCCTCATTCTTGCAATAACGGTGTGCGCGTGCCTATATAGGAAACATTTTCATCTGGTTTCTTCCCCTTTATAGAAGCATAGTATCGCTGTACTCTCCTTTCAATGGTGTTAAGGATGAAAATCACATCCACACACCCTTGAAAGCCTAAAGCGTGTCCAGACGTATTTTGGTATAATGTCGAAGTGTGTAAAACCACACATTGCCAAAGAGGAGAGATCTATTGCATTGAAATCAGAGCTGGATGTGGATCGAGCTCTTTCAAACAGTAATTGCTTGCGAACTATTTTAAAGCTATGAAAAGCTAATGTCTCGGAAGGTTCTTTAGTTTTCCATTAAAAAAAGAACTTCGGTTCCAGAGCTTTTTTAGTAATTGCAGTATCCTTTATAGCAACAATGTGTACTATTACTTTCTACTCTTTATAAAAACGATAAACAAAATTCCTTGCAATACCATGTAGAAAGAGCGCCTGATTATTACTAAAAGGAGTTAATAATTGAAAAATGCTCGCGATAACAGGTTGCAGGAGTAAGCTTTGAGTTCTTTTCCAAAGTAATTGCACCACAATGACTGGTACCTAGCTACTATTTATTGTACAAGTGCTCGGAATGTAAGAGTGGTAAGTGCTGACTTTTACCTTTACGACTCAGGTAGTCAACTGTTTAATAACAAATGGAATAAGTGCTTCAATTATATTTTAATTGTGAATGGAATTCGCTAATACAGTGAATTGGGCTTATTTATTCCATTTTCATATGATCTCTAAGGTGCAATATCAGAAAGACATTTTTGAACATGTGGATTCTAGTTTTACTTTTGGAACCACTCGATCACATCAATCAAACTATAGTTGCTTATTGAACAATTTCTCAATTGAAGAAAATTTTATTAAAAACACACTACAAATATTAAGCAAATGTGCATTATTTCTCATTAACAAACTTGGAATCCATTTTTAAACCATTTGTGAAAATACAACTCATTACTAATAGTTAAAAAGATAAAGACTTAAGAATAATAGGTAGTACGTAACAGGTTGAAGATGGAAGTATTTTCGACAAAACTTCAAATTGGAAAGATAGGCAAACTCGGCTACTTGGAAATAATTGGTAGCTATCCATCTTATAACGACTCAAAACGGGGTGATATTGACTAAGTGGATTGATAAAGACACTAAACCTTCCCCATACTTCTTTTTATTATTTCCGGTATTAAAATAAAGGCATTAGGTGACAGCGACTATAGTTTCGACACGAAGGTCATTATCAAGCTTAAATTTAAGAGAACATTGTAAAGGTGGTTGAAAAGTTACAATTTAAAATGGTACATTATGGTTATCAGTGTGAG